GGTTCAAGACACCCAGAGCCCCAAAATTCCAAGGCATTCCCTACAGATCACCCCACATCCCCCCTCAGCTCAGAGGGAAACAATGGGAGTCACCACAGCCCATTTTCCCAGGATCAGCAGCCTGAAGCACTGTGATGTCCCTCAGCCCAGCCTCAGGAAAGGGGTGGCCTTGGGATCACCCAAACCTTCCCTGACCCATGAGGGGACTGAGGAGGGCACAAACAGCTCTGGGCCTGGCAGCGGGGTCCTTCTCCCCATGGGTGACACTGAAACTTGTGCACGGAGCAGAGCGTGGCAGACTTCCCAGGGAAGGATATGACTGACATCCTCCTCCAGTCCTGTGTGGAATTCCTGGTCCAGTCAGGACCAGACACACACTGTCCCTCCAAAACCAACCTCCACCAGCCACCCTCACTCTCCCAGCAGGACCTAAGGGCACCAGGAGCCATGTCCTGCCTTTGGGTGGGGACTGACCTGTGACACCTCGGGGCCTTTCCTCCTGCCAAACACCCACCACGGGTCACACACGGATGTGCTGGATCACAGCCCCCAACTCCCTGTCCTACACCTGCCCTGCCTCCCCACAGTGTCCGTGCCTAGGACACCAAGAAAGGCACACAGTGGTGCCAGCCATGCCAGCTGTGTCAGCCACCCCGTCCCTGCTCCGTGGGCCGAGGGATGCAGAGTTGGAAAAAGGCAGAAGCCCCAAAGCAGCGGGGAGCAGAACATCTCCTCCATGGTCCCAGCCAGAGCCCCGTGCTCAGGGCACAGTACCAGGGGTGTCCATGGTCCCAGCGGGAAGGGGGAGGGTGCCAGGGCAGGGCTGGCCCAGGAGATGGCCGGGGCAGGCAGGGAGGGAGCCCAGCCCCCGGGAGCACAGCGCTCCGGCTCCGCTCCCTGCCCACGCTGCTGTGTGCCAGGTGGGAGGTTTCCTCTGCATTGCAAATCCCTTCTCGTGTGAGTGCTGCAGTGCTGCTTGGAAGGAAAACAACCCCTCTGGAGCGAGCCCAGGGGTCTGGAGCAGCACCAGCACCTCCTCCTGCCCCAGGCAGGCCTTGGTTCCGTTCCCAGGGTGCCTGGCTTGGGAGATAAACCCAAAGCTTCCCTGGCAGGCAGCCTGGCGGGAGCAGCCCCAGCCGTTCCCATTTCTCTGTGCTTGTCTCTGGCACAGACAGCCCCAGCTGAGCTCTCCCTCCAGACCTGGGAAGTGGGAGGAGGAGGAGGAGGCAGAGGGAAGAAGGCTCCCTGGTCTGCAGCAGCTGGCTGGAAGCAGGACAAGGGCTTTGGGAAGGGGGAGCATCCCTGGGAGCATGGATCCATGGGGACATGGATCCAGGACGGGAGGATCCTGGCTGGGGGTGGGGGGGATCTAGTCCATTGTGGCATCTGCTGTTGGGCAAGCTGCTCACCTGGGCAGGGCAGGGTCTGTGCTGAGCCCCCAGGAGCAGGGCTGCCCTTCCCAGAGCTCTGATTCCAGGCTGGAATCCACTGCCAATCCCAGCCTACTGATGCAGCCCCACACTGCCAGCCTCTGGCAGCTCCTTCTCCTCCCAGACTCATGGCACTGCTGGCTGGGAGATCTTCCCAGAACTCACAGGAAAACAACCGCCTCATCCGCTGGTGCACGGGTCCCCCACTACCAGGGGTTTGGGAGCCACCCGAATGTTTGGCACAACTCTCCAGGAAGAGACTGGATTTGTGCTCCTCAGGGACTGGTGGATGGAGGAATCCAGGGACAGTGTCCTCGGGCCCTTTCCAGGGGACAAGTCTTCAGGGGATTCAGCCCAGGGCAGCAGCACTGTTGGAGGTCAGATTCAGGAAATGCAGGGAACCCCTCAGGAGGAGATCTGCCCCTAAAATCCACTGCTGTTCCCTCTCTGGGAACTGGGGCACTGAGCAGAGGGGATGCAGGGATGGAGGGGGACTGCCTCTCACAAGGGACAAAAAATTCCCAGCCCAGCCCACCCCTTCCAAGTGGGAATGTTCACGCTGATGAGACCTGAGGAGGAGGAAGAATAAAACATCAAAGCCTAAAAACAAGGGACAGCAACCCCTGGTAGCAGAGCCATGTCTGGGGCAGGGTTCTGGGGGAGGATTTCAGGCACCAAACCTTCTGGGAAGAAGCCATGAGGGATGTGTGGGGTCAGGACCCACCTGCCCTCAGTGGAGTCTCTGGGTCTGGCTCTGCCCAATCTTCCCACCACAGCCTCCCCCACCTCATCTTTCTGGATTCAGGAAGCTTTTTACGACAAATCCATCCATCCATCCATCCATCCATCCATCCATCCACCCATCCACCCATCCATCCATCCATCCATCCATCCACCCATCCATCCATCATCCATCCATCCATCCATCCATCCATCCATCCATCCATCCATCCATCATCCATCCATCCATCCATCCATCCATCCATCCATCCATCCATCCTCCATCCTCCATCCATCCATCCATCCATCCATCCATCCATCCATCCATCCATCCTCCATCCATCCATCCATCCATCCATCCATCCATCCATCCATCCATCATCCATCCATCATCCATCATCCATCCATCCATCATCCATCCATCCATTCATCCATCACCCATCCATCCATCATCCATCATCCATCCATCCATCCATCCATCATCCATCCATCCATCCATCCATCCATCCATCCATCCATCCATCATCCATCCATCCATCCATCCATCATCCATCCATCCATCCATCCATCCATCATCCATCCATCCCCCATCCATCATCCATCCATCCATCCATCCATCCATCCATCCATCCATCCATCCATCCATCCATCCATCCATCCATCATCCATCCATCCATCCATCCATCCATCCATCCATCATCCATCCATCATCCATCCATCATCCATCCATCCATCCATCCATCCATCCATCCATCCTCCATCCATCCATCCATCCATCCATCCATAGAGGAAGGAGACTAGGCACACACATGCTGGAGGCACATGTGGAGATTTTTTTCTCACCCTTTCCTTGCAGGATAGAGAAGGGGGAAAAAAATAAGGAAAAGAATAGCAAAATAAAGCAAACCAAACAACTCCAATTTCTCTCTTAATGAATAAATGAAATGCATCCCAAGAGGCAATTAAGTGCTTCGAACCAAACATGTGTCACATACATTAAAAAAACAACCCTGAGAGAAATCCAGCAGCTGCAGTGAAGGGAAGGAGGCAGCTGATGACTGCTGGGGGCAGGGAACTGGGGCTCTGCTCCCACCATGGTGTTTGGGTCCTCCAGGGGAGGGGAGTCCCCCCAGGGGCTGTGGGGATCCCCCAATACCCAGGGGCATTCCCAGAGGTTTCTCCCACCCTAAGGACATCACTGCCCTATGAACCTTTCACCTTGTGCCCCATGGGGACTGGGACCATTTGCTCCCAGGCCTTCCTTCCCAAAGCCCAAAGCAAGTTTTGTCCCACACTCCCTCTCGATGTCACCTTCAGGGAACACCCACACCCACCTGAGCTCCTGTCCCTTGTCCCTGTCCCTGGTGCTGCCCGGAGCGTGGCTGTGGCCCAGCCCTCACCAGGCACTGCCCAGCTGACACCGGTACCCTTTGCTGCTGGGAGGAGGAGGAAGGCTGAGGAAAGGCTTCCCTGCAGTACAGCGGGGCTGTGATTGGGTGGGAGAGGACCTGAATCCTCACCCAGCACAGCAGCCACGCCATGGGTGCATGTCTGACCCCCATCCTCATGCCCAAATCTCCTTCACATGCCTGCCCCACTGCCAGGGCCTTGATGTTGGGAGAACCCTCCAGAATCCAGCCTGCAGAGAACCGGGGGCTCTTCTTCCAGAACGGCCCAGAAGGCTACAAAGACCCCCTCTGATTTGCCCAAAGGGGGCAAAGAGATCAGCTTGGCTAAAACCCCCATGGATTTCCCCATGACACAACTCACAGCAGCAGTGAGAAAGCGCCGTGCTGGGAGGCCCTGAGCTCCCAACTCTGAGCTCTTTGGGGAAGCTGTGTTTTACTTCTGGGTGGTGGCACAGCAGGACAGGGCACCCACAGCAGGACAGGGCACCCACAGCAGGACAGGGCACCCACAGCAGCCCCTGCACCACTCCCACCCATCGGGCTCCCACAGATGCTGCCAGGCTGTGAAGGACAAACCCCCGACACGCTTTGGATGCTCACTGGGTTTTCTGCCCATCTTGTCCCCTTGGAAGGCACATCCAGACTCTTTGAGTATTTGGGTCTGGTTGTGCTGATGGAGCTGGTATCACTTTCTGGGACACACCAGGAAATCTTTCCTGATGATGGAAAGCCCATGGGATTTATTCCTCTGCAGCTCTGCCCTGTGTGTTCACCCTGCCTGCTGCTTCCAGAACACATCCCTTCCCCATGGACCAGCAGCTGCCACGGCGCTGCCCAAACCCAAAGCCCTGCCCTTTCCTGTGGGGCAACACAGGCTTCCAGTGGGCTGGCAAGTTCCCTGCAGGAGCCTCCTTCTCTGGCCAGTCAGAACACTCCTGCCTCTGCATCCTGCTCGTGCCCAGCCTGCCACAGCGAGCCCAGAGCTCAGGGAGCACATCCCCGGCTGAGGGTGCAGAGCCAGGGCAAAGCACGGCAGGGGCAGCCCCAGGGAGCCCATGCTGGGGGGTGGGTCTGCTCCCCACCTGCCTCATGGCTGGGGCTCCCTGTGGGCTCTGCTCCCACTGCTCCTGGGCTCTGGCATTGTCACAGCCCTCCCTGCCCCAGGGACACCTGTAACAGTGTCCTGCAGTGTCCATGGCAGTGTCCTGCAGTGTCCACAGCAGTGTCCTCCAGCCCCCCTCTGTCCCCATGCTGGGACATTACCAGCACCTCGCAGCAGCTCAGCCCTGTCCCCTTAACAGCCCTGTGCCCCTGCCCTGCCAGCAGTGCCTCTGCTACCACGCTGGGCAAAGAGCAGCACCCCACGAGAGGACACAATCCCCAGCACCCACAGAGCCCCCAGAGCCACCCGTGTCCCCAGAGTCCTGCCCGGAGCACTCACAGTCTGGCGTGGCTCTGGCAGGTGGCACAGCTCTGATGGGTGGCACGGCTCTGGTGGCTGGCACGGCTCTGGTGGCTGGCACGGCTGCTGCAGGTGGCACGGCTGCTGCAGGACGCTGCTGTCATCCGCGGGGGGCAGGGGGACGCTGGTGGCCCGTGCGCCGGCTGTGGGTGGTGGCAGCTCGGTGACCGCGCTCGCTGGGGGCCTCACGCTGCGGAGGGACAACACACACGTGAGCCCAGGGAGCTGTGGATGCACCCCAGTGTCTACCCTGGCTCAGAGCAGAGAATCGTTAAGGTTGGAAAAGGCCTTTTGGATCGCCAAGGTCACCCAGCACTGCCACCACGTTCAGCACAGGTGCTGTCCCCAGGTGCCACAGCCACACGCCTTTTGAGCACTTCCAGGGATGGTGATGCCATCACTGCCCTGGGCAGCTGTGCCAGCGCCTGAGCACCCTTTCCATAGAGACATTTTCCCTAATATCCAAACCCAAACATTCCCTGGCCCAAGTTAAGGCCATTTCCTCTCACCCTGTCCCTGTTCCCTGGGAGCACAGCCTGACCTCCCCCTGGCTGTCCCCTCCTGTCACAGGGAGTTGTGCAGAGCCAGAAGGGCCCCCCTGAGCCTCCTTTGCTCCAGGCTGAGCCCCTCAGCTGCTCCTGGTGCTCCAGCTCCTTTCCCAGCCCGGTTCCCTTCTCTGGACATGCTCCAGCCCCTCAGGGTCTTTCTGGTTGTGAGGGGCCCAAACCAACCTGGGGCTCCGCAGAGCTGCCCTCAGCAGTTTAAGGAGAAATGGGGTTCAAGACTTGAGGAGAGCCAGAGATGGCACCCAGAAGGGCAGGGCACTTCCCCGCTGCTCTCTGCCAGCCTGGCTGCTGCAGCAGTGACAGGCACATCTGTCCTCCCCGTGCACTTCCCAAAGAGCAGCTTACACCCGGATCAGATTAGGGGAAGAAAACTGCATTGCAATAAATCCAGGGAGGGAACTGGCTGCTGGGGCTTTAATCTGAGAGGAGCCTTCAAGATAAGAGCATTAAGAGGGGATGAAGCAGCCTTGGTGCAGGGATGGTCCGGCTGGTCCCTTGTCCGGGATTTGGCAGAGGGAGACTGCCGTGCCATGCCCTGGCACCTGGGAGGTGCCACACGTCCTGCCACACCTGAGCACTCTCCATGGCTGCAGGACAGGGCACAGCACACAGAGCACCCACCTAACAGGAGCCTGGAACTCCTGGTGGGAAGGACAGCACCGTGCTCGGTGGGACACCTGGGGCAGGGGGGGATCTGTCCTGGAACCCTCCTTCCATGAGCTCGCTCTCTGGGAGAGGCAGGCGCCTTTCCTGCCTCGTGTCCCTGCAGAGAGAATCCCCACAGCAGCAGTGGGGGACAGGGCAGGGGAAGTGTCCCCCTGCATCCCTAGGAAGGCTGAGGGGAGCTGCTTGCTCCCACAGCCCTGCAGGAGCCACCCGGGATGGGCTCGGTGCTGAGAGCTCTGGGGAAGGCCCCTCCTGCCAGGGTGACCCGCTGGGCATCAGTGGGGGCTGGTGACAAGGAGACAGTGGCTGGGGTGGCCTGCCTGTGCTCTGCCAGCTCAGCCAGAGATGGATGGAACCGGCCCTGCAGCCTGCTGTAAGTAATTGAGGGAAGAACATTTGTAAGGCAGGAGACAGCTGGATTAAAAAGGTGAAGCCCAAAAAGCAAATGAAAAGAGAATCACTGCTGATGGATGAGAAAGCAGAGCCCGAGTCCAGCTTCTCCCTGCATGCACTGGTGAGCAGCAGCAAGGCAAGGTGAGCTGAGATCAAACCATGGCAAGAACCTGGGTAGCCATGGGGGCTTGGAATCACAGATAAATAAAGGTTGGAAAATCCCCCTAAGGTCATTAAATCTAACCCTTAACCCAGCACTGCCAAGGCCACCACTAACTCATGGCCCCAGGTGCCACATCCACACATTTTTTTAACACTTCCCAGAGACAGTGATGCCACCACTGCCCTGGGCAGCTGTGCCAGTGCCTGAGCACCCTTTCCATGAAGAGTTTCTCCCTGATATCCAATCTGAACCTACCCTAGTGCAACCTGAGGCCGTTTCTGCTCTTCCTGTCCCTGTTCCCTGAGAGCAGAGCCTGATTCCCACCACACCCCCTGGCTGTCCCCTCCTGTCACGGTGCTGTGCAGAGCCACAAGGTCCCCCCCCAGCCTCCTTTTCTCCAGGCTAAGACCCCCCCAGCTCCCTCAGCCGCTCCTGGAGCCTTCCCAGGCTCATCCCCTCCCTGGCTGCAGAGGCTGTGCTTGTGCAGAAGTGCCCAGGTGCCAGTGCTGCCTCTTCCCTGCCCTGCCAGGGCCTGCCCCTGCCCCGCAGAGCTCCCAAACATCTGCCGGGTGGATGTTCCCTGAGGCACTGCCCAGACATTACTGCAGCTTGCTTTGCTAATTGCTGCTGATCAGATGCTTCCCTGGCAATGGTGGGAAAGACATTTAGGTCGGAAAAAAGTAAATTGAGTTTGTGTAAGACAGAAGAATTCCCAACTGCTCCATCTGCACGATGGCCTGAGCAGACCCAGCCTCACCCAAAGCAGGGGCTGCTCCTCCAGGCAGCCTGGGCAGAGCCCTGGGACCGGTCCCATCCACGGTGGGGGGGAGCAGAGAGGCAAGGTGAGCCCACCTGAGGAGGGTGAGACATGTCAGAGCAGGACATCACAGCCCCACCACCCCCTCTGTGACCCTGCCCCTGCCAGCCTCACCGTGGCTGTCACTGCAGCCCTCACAAGGCACAGAGTGCTCTGCTCCCCTCTCTGCCCGGATGGGGCCACCACCAGAACACCTCCACACCCTCCCAGCACAGCCTAGGGACCATCTCTCCACACTCTGCTGCCTTTCTTTCACGATCCAGGCATCTCCAACAGGCTGCAATTCCTGTTCCCTCATCCTTGAACATCAACCAGAGCCTTCCATTCCAGAGCCTCCCAAACCATTCTCTGCCAGCTCTGAAACTCAGCTGGTCCTGCAGGTCACTGTCCTACTTGGTTTCATTAAAAAAACAGTTTGCTCCAGTGCCTTGGAGGCCCCAGGTGCCCACAAGACCCCAAAGCATTCTCCAGGAGGTTTCTCAGACTGACAACCACAAGCAGACTGATTCAGGGGGCACTCTGGGGACAGTGGCACGAGGCTGTCCCCACACACTGTGAATGCCCCCACACGCTGCACATCATCAGCACCAGGACCTTCTCCAGCATGTCCAGTGAGCCCCACTTCTGCCTGCAGCTGGACATCATGGGCATAGAGGGGCAAGGCCTTTCCACAGAGATCCCAGAGAGCCAAGAGCCAGGGATAGTGCCTGGCTCTCCCAAAGCCCTGGCTGATGGCCCTTGATCCCACACAAGAGGACAAGGAGATGAGCAGCCCAGGAGCCTCCATCTCCAGTGCTCAGGCTGGCAGCATCATTGCCTGGAGAAAGGCCCTGGGCCATGCCCAGCACGATGTGGGCAGTGAGGTGCCCACAGCAGAGGGTGCCCAGCCAGCCGTGGGGCAGAGCTGCCAGGACCACCCTGCCCAGCATCTCCGGGCTGGAACACTGCAGGAGTCCAGTCAGCCAGCACAGCAGCACCAGCTGTGCCCAGCCTGGGGACACCGGGGCGGGTGTCTGAGTCCCTCCAGGGCACACACAGCCCCTGCCCCGGTCTCAGGGCAGTGGAGCCCCCTGCACCAGAGTGCCCTTGGAACCTGATGGAAATGTAGGCAGGAGAAGGGTCAGGGCACAACCAGCCCTGCAGGCCAGGGCAGCTCCGGCCCCAGGGCAGGATCCCTCCAGAGCGGGCACAGACAGAGTGGAGGTGGCACCACGCAGGGAGCTGCTCTGCGGGGACACTGCCACTGCTGGGGACACTGCCACTGCCACTGCTGGGGGCACTGCGACTGCCGGGGACACTGCCACTGCCAGGGACACTGCCACTGCCACTGCCGGGGACACTGCCACTGCTGGGGACACTGCCACTGCCAGGGACACTGCCACTGCCACTGCCACTGCTGGGGACACTGCCACTGCTGTTCCCTCCCTCAGCACGGCCGTTCCGTGCTCCCAGCCGGATCAGATCGACTCCTCTCCTCTCCAGCACCGAGGGCACTGAGCTGGAGCAAACCCCCCTAGCCAGGCAGGCCGGGCAGGGTGTGGGGACATGTGGGGTGCTGTGGGTACCCAGTGCCAGCTCCCACCCACCCCTCACCCCTGCCCACACCTCCCCACAGCCCCAGGGGGGAAGGCCTTGGCACGGAGAGGCACCTCTGGAGCCGAGAGTCACCGCTCCAGGCTCGGCTCTGCCATTTCCTGCCTCTCCTTACCCATTTCCCATTTCCCATTTCCCATTTCCCATTTCCCATTTCCCATTTCCCATTATTTCCCATTTCCCATTTCTTATTTCCCATTTCCCATTTCCCATTATTTCCCATTTCCCATTTCCCATTTCCCATGCTGCCTGACCATCTTTCCAGCTGATTACCCCCGCTCCTGCGGGCATGGGCCACATGGCAGCTGGCATCTGCACTGGCTCCAGGAACGACCTTGGCTGCTCAGGGGACAGCAGGAGCCTTTCTGACTCCCGGGCTTCTCCCGAGGCAGACAAGGATGCTCCAGTGGGAGGGATGAAAGCCCTTCCAGCCCCAGGAACACTTCCAGCCCTGCTGCCAGCTCTGCTCTTCCTGCTTGGGGGCACTGACTGTGGCTCCCTCCCATGCTGGGGCTCTTTGTCACCTCCCCCAGGACGCCCAGCACTGCCTCCCTGCAGAAATTTCCACTTTCACAGGTTTGGAAATCTTTCTCCCGAATTTCCCACCCTGGTTTTGTGGCAGCACAGCCTTGAGCCAGGTCTGGCTGCATCCCCATGCCAGCTGTGCCATGGAGAGGGGGCTCAGGGCAGAGAGCTTCGGGAGGAGCAACTCGGTGTGGGGTCCTTAGGGAGCAACCTGGGGTGGCATTACTGCCACTGTCACAGCCTGTCTTCCCTGCTGTGGGGAGAGGTGGAGCAGGGAGGAGGCAGACACAGAAGCTCTCTGCGATGGCAGCCCCTGAAAACAGCCGACAGAACAGTCCTGAGCACCTGGGAGACTTCCCAGGATGGGAGGGAGCTGTCAGCTGGCACAGCCTGGGGCTGGCGGCTGGGCTTGCTGGCCCCAGACAGGGACTGCTCCAGTGGTGGGACATGCATGGGAACGAGCTGGG